GATGGTGTGGTGGTGAAGTGCGCTACTCCCCGGAAGGGACAACAGCACGTTCGTTCCCCACCGCATACACCTGCGGTCCGGAGTTTTGCAAATATCTCAGCATTACATAATAGAATCAGAGATGGGCAGAATGATATAAAAAAGGTAAAAGGATCAATGTTGACCAATCTGTATGGAATACGCTGTTTTCGATTTCACCAATCATCATGGAGGTTACCGAGTGCATTTTGGACCCACACCATGACTTGCGGTGTCCTACTGACGAAATAAGTCAGTGTTCCTATTCTCCGAGACAACTTTATTACCAATTTGGCGACCTTGGAGGGATGAATAGTTGGCTAGATCAGGAGTTAGACCGAACCAACTACTGATCTTGCATGTGTTGCAAGGCACTCCTGACTACTGCGCTACGCGCTGTTCTCAAATCAAGAATAAGTGATGTATGAGCCGAAGTTTGTCCTTGTGTTTCCGGCGAAGTCCGCGGAACTATAAGGGAACGAATCTCTTAATTGAATGTCCCATAGACGTGGATATTTATTGGTCTGTCAAGGATCCAGTTCCCGAAATACAGCTGCCTGAAAGTGTTCTATCAGTGCTTTACAAATACGTCGAGCTTCTCTGAATCGAGAGCTCAGAAACAGAAAACAAAGAAAAATCGTTCGAAAATTACCTTTATCAGTTTTCTGTACCCATAGATGAATTGAAACTCTCAAAATTCGTTTACACCTAATTTTGTAGTCCCATAAAGTACTCAGTAAGAAACCACAGTATGTTAAGTCTCACTATTGTATTCAAAGGGCCTTGTCTAGACAACGATGCACGGAACAACAAATACTCCACTTTGTTGGTAATTCTACTTCCTCATTCATAGATTAGTAATAACATGGGGTTATCCACTCCTACATGATTCAACAACGCTATTTAATAAATTTGTTTTTTATTTTACACTACCCGTCTTCTCAACCGCTGTGCGGATCCCAACACTTCCATTTGGTTCTTTTCCTCGCGTCCATCATCCACCAGGTCTTCCGAACTTAACGTGTGGCTTAGGCTCGCTTGAAGATTTTCACTTGATCTTGAATATCGTAGAATGCTGGTCGAGTCGATTTTCGCTGCACTCCTGATAGATGGGCTGGAGCGTTCCCAATCCGATTGCAGAGAATGACTTTTCCCAGGACAAATCCGGCCGGTACGAATTTCATTTCCCGACCCCGAAGGGATGAGAGGCTCGATGAGCTGTGGGGCAATTCGAAGCGGCACCGTGCTCGTGATCATCGGTATCACTACCACTGTGATATCAACCCCGTTATTTAATAACCTAGCAAATACATTTTTATTGAAGGAACTTAGTGCTACTAATAGTGTTCGCTTTCAGGAAAAAAAATGAAGATTTCCTACGCATCCCAAATTTATTTTCCAACGCAAATAAAGCCCTTTAATCCGTACCAATACTCTGAATGGAACCTACGGGAAAACAGAACAGGCTCTTCATACCACTTTAACCACCCGTCATGAAACTTCTTCTTCTTGCAAATTTTAGTACAAATGCATGGATCTGTGACGGTGACTATGTAATACTAGCACAACGTCTTCTGCATTGTAGTTGAGAATGGGAAGAACAAAGTAGACCACTCTTCGTTTAACTGGACAGTTTCGCTTCTGGCTGTACCACAGATGCTTTACGTGGACAACAAACCACTTCATGTCACATCAAACGAAATACGTGAACGCAAAGCTGGTTCTAGACGAAAATAATACAAGAAACATATGTATAAAACAACATGTAGTGAACTAAACAACGCCAACAATACATCGTTGGTCATGAGCAACTCATCAATAGAGGGATGGGGTTAATCTACAAAATAGTTAACCATTAAGCTTCCAACTACCGATTTCAATACCTTCCTATGTTCAGCTTTTCGATGACTCCAATAAATCTTTCGCTTCATTAATTTTCGATGCGATATATGGTGAACCACCTGAAGGAAGTTCTTTATATAACCACAAATAATACGCCTAGAATGTGACAAAAAGTGATCTTACGATTGCAAAGAGATGACGGAAAACTGTTCAACGCCCAGTTATTTCACAGAATACCCATCTCCGCTTTCCATGCATTGGGACTCACCTCGATCAGGATGATTGACTATCATAATACGCCTGTGAGCCTCCTTAATTCGGGCGGGATTCGCTGTCGCAGGAATCCCAAGAATCATAGCTGCTTCCCTTCTCGTCATTTTCGGCTCAAAACCACCACGATGGTATTTTTCGAACTATAAGACAGTAATACAGAAGTAAACATATACTGCAATATCGAAACTAATACCTTACCTGCTTACTGCTCATATCCAATATTATATTACTCTTTCATTTTGGCTTCAATTCTGCAAGATTCGACGAATACAACTCATAACACGTCTAACACTAATTTACTGGACATATTCATTTTGCCAAGAACGCCGGTATCATAGACTGATAACTATGTGAATAAATGCCTGTTTATCTCTCACAAACACGGCATACGTCCGTACTTCGACAGGCTGACAGTTTACGAAATATACGAGAGATCGTATCAATCCAAAGAAAACTTTGAAACCATTGTGAGCAAAAAAAAGTCTGTGAGTATGAAGAAGCTGTAAAGATCCCAAGGTCAGAACCGAGAAAATCAAAAATGGGTAGGACTACGAGCTTTTGTCATCGAGCGAATACCACAAACCCACCAGAGCCACCACAGCACACAATGTCTTCAGAACACCTTGAAACTATCAACAAGAAAACAATCAATGCCGTTGGATTCCCTTTCAACACAAAAGCAACATTGGTCAAGCCTCAACATTTCGAATCTAAAGACTTTGATTCCACGGACTTCTATGGCAGGTCTAATAACAACACATGAACAATAGCGAATAAAGTTCTCAGCCGAGATATTTGCAAAACTCCGGACCGCAGGTGTCTGTGGTGGGGAACGAACGCACTATTGTCCTTTCCAGGGAGTAACGCGTTCACCACGACACTGTGCGAGTCCTTCGGTTCGCCTGTCTCTCAGCTAGTTCTACCGATCACTGCCACCAGCAGTCACCCGTCAACGGGATTGACCTAGGGTGGCGAAATCGGCATTGAACCCAGTTAAGCTGCGGCTGTAGTTGAATTCACAATGTTTTACTTTTTATTTCCTGCCTTCTATAATTTTTATGGCAGGATATTAAGCGAAATACACTGATCGATAGAACTAGCTGAGAGACAGGCGAAACGAAGAACCCGCATGGTGTGGTGGTGAACGCGTTACTCCCCGGAAAGGGCAATAGCGCGTTCCTTCCCCACCGCAGACACCTGTGATCCTGAGTTTTGCAAATATTTCAGTATCATTGAAAGCTACATTTCGCAATATACACTGCCGTTAAAAAGAATAGGCACTAAATAATAAGTTAAAAGCTCTCAGCTTTGACCAATCCCTGAGGAATGCGCCATGCATCCGACTTCATCAAGCATCGTTAGAGGCGTTTGAATGTATATCTAGCCTTTACAATGACTCTCGGTGGCTTGTCTTTGGATCGAGCCAGTACTGCTATCCTCAGAGACATCTCTGGCACTAATTCACCGAACCCGGAGGAATGGAGAGTTTGATGAGTCTGGGACACGGAGATGGTTCCTAAGGGTATTGCAGACCTCTGACCGCTGAGCCCCACGCGCTCTTATAACACATGGATACTTCAAGTTAATATGAATATCATAACTCATAACACCGTAAAACTGATCCTTTTCGGCTGCTTGAATGATTCTGACACGATGTCGCTATCATTACAACTTACAACTCATCAAAGGCGTTGGCTAAAATAGAAACTGAGAACACCAAAAAAAGCTCTCCTTCTTTGATCACATTGGAACGGCATTAGTATTTATCCTCACAAACCTTCGTTAACAACTAACCGAAAATAATTACAACGTGGTTCTATTGGTAAGAAAATAAAAGTAAAAACAAAACTCGGTTTCCATAGAATCAAGCGGAAACCCCTAAAGGATGCATCCACAGTAGTGCTCAATGAAACAGCACTTCCTTTCGCCGAAACGGAAACCCATAGAACTTCATAAGCTTCTCATTCGACTTTTTCAAATTCCAATTTCAGTCTTATATATAGTATCTCTACCAGACTGAACGTGCACAGAAAGATAAAAAGCACTCTAATAGCACCCAATATCGTGGGTCCACATCTTTCTTCTTACAAAAACAACAGGTATGGTGGAGTTACATAAGTTTGCATATCTACGACATTTACGATAAGTTCTCTTTGAAAAGCGACTCCACTAGAAAATTCGCTTAGAAGAGTAAATTTGGTACAGCCGCAAAAGCTACGAGGAAGAACCGCTAGAACACGTGGAAGGTAGAGCCTTCATACTATCAGATCCAGGCCTTCTGTATAACAAACTCTGTACAGCCATATTACACCAGCAGTGTTGAGATTTCAGAATTTAAAGAGAACAATTTCAACCCTAATGAAGAGGCGCTGCGAAGCGAGACAGTTTGAATGTGGACGACTTGGACTAGCTAAAGGCGTAACTTAATCGCCTAACACGAAATGCATTTTCCTGCATAATTACCTAGAAGTCCAGCATTACGCTGCTGATATAAGGGCTATTCCAACGATAGCAACAAGTTCCGGAAAAAGAATTGAGTGCCGCAGTTGTGCAATTCGGATAAAAGAACAACAAAAACTTTAAAATTACCACGAAAAAAACAGCAAAGATAACCGAAAATAGAGATCCAAAACTCCATTCTACATGAATTTCTCTGGAAAGAATGCTGCAGATCGCTCAGTACCAGAAATTCTGTAGTCGAAAGGTACTGTGGTAAAAAATAAGATGTAGTCAAAACAACACCAAAGGGTTTTGAACGCCAACAGCACCATGATCACAGGATGAAGCGAAATTACCTGAGGCTCCCAATGCGACTAAAAGTGTATTCAAGGAAAAAATCACTTCTTAATATGGCAGTGAGAAGTGTGAAAAACCTCGTGAAGGCTATACCACGCATACTAGATAAAGCCAGTTTCAATTTTATGGACGAACAAATATACAAAAAAGCGACTTGAAGAAAATTCAGCAACCAAAACGGAAACTGTCAACTCTTAAAGGTCCTCACCGCTCCGCCTGGAATAGCTTCCAGACTTTTCCTAACAAAGGCCTGATTCCTAAGCACATAACGTGTACCGAAAGCTGCAGCTGCTAAAGCCAGTCCAGCCAGGACCAGTCCACTGCTCTAAACAAGGATTCATTTCAAAACTATTGCAGCGACGAGAAAAAGGAAAAATGAGCGAAAGACAAGCATAAATTGCTCACCATCCCTCTTTCTTAGGACCTAAAGCTGAGCGTTCCAATCACACGCGAACAGACATAACGTTGGGAATTGCGGGAACGGTTCACTAACAACGGAAATATGAAAAAAAAATAAGACAACACAAAGTGGTACTATGAAGTGAAATATAATATATAGAACAATAATAAACACAACAACTCCGAAACGAGAGCACAACAATGACGACTCCGTCCCGAGCGCCTTTCCATTGTCCTTTAATATTTTCTTAATTGGAGCACGAAAACGTCCACCTACTCCATTGCATACACTGCATAGCAGTGATTTTCGAGTTTCTCACGTACAGTCGAAGGTTTTCTCTTTTTAAAGAGTTTAAAGCTGAGAAGACCAGCGAGTTATTGAGTATTCTGGATTGTTGTCCTGCGGACTCATCCGAGTTTCTAATGCGGTGCTTCATACTGCACTTTTCTAAACAGTTCTTCTGGGATTGTTTGTATCTGCTGGTTCTTCTTTTCCTAGAATACTTGAGGCATTAAGTTTTCTGTATTGTCAAGCGGGTATGGTGTAATTGCCCAAGGACCTCTTTCTGTTGTTTCATTGCGTAGAATGAATAGACACACGGTGCAAGGATGGTAGCTGGTAGACATTCTTGTTCTCTCAGCGATTCTAAAGCTACAGGAGCCTGGATACGTGGATACTTCACCGGCCCGTCCTCACTGGTTGTGCGGGCTCCAGCATAATATCTATTTTTCGGAGCTTTGCTGGTGTAGCTATTGTGTTTCCCTGGAGTCCCGAAGTCAGCTTAGCCAAAGTCCGCCCCAGGTCGTCACCACCACAGGCTGTCGCAGCCCTTGTGGATCAAAGCGAAATTTGCCACCTTGCGACCAGTTTGATGTCAGGGTCGTTCCTGGTATTGGTTTACCCTTAGCTGGGCTTTCTTATGGAAACACCGGACTCCTCAACTTAGGAGGCCTTGCCGGGGGTATGAATTCCCCCGCTGTACAACGCAGTTCGACACCCAGGAACACCTCCCACCCACGAACGATGAGGCGCTTAACCGTTGGAGGAGTTGCAAGACCACCGCATGTATTACGTACTTCCCACTTCATTTGATTCGAATCAGTTAGTTCTTCATGCTTCAGAAGGTATCTAGAGTGGTTTGTTCAGAAATGCCTTCCATTTTTTTTAGTATTATTCCAGAGCTCCTGTCTAATTGCGCCTCATGTTCTTTCACGTTGCTGTTTTCCTTCTGAATAGTTATGGTGCAATGCCTGTGTAGTACCTTTATGTGATCTTCTAAGAATCTAGTTTCGTTCAACTTCGGCATTAGTAGTTAGTATTCTTCTATATTTATAAACTTGGGCAACGCACATCTGTCTATTTCCTATCTAGCCATTTTATAGGAAATTCTATCATCGCGCTTGGGGATTATTCACCAGTCATTTGCGTGAGAAAAGAAAGTCACTATCATCAACTGCTACTCAGCAACTTCAGTTGATGAGAGCGAAAACGACCTTTCTACAACCATTTGGGAAAAGTAGTACCCGACGGGATATCCTTCAGTAAGTATTCTTTCTTTGATGAGCTTACACGAGGTTGATAATGATGTTTATTTTCGGCTAACGTTTCGACGTCTTCGTCTTCCTCAGAGCCGATGATCCGAGTCGATGGTCCACGCTTGTTATTCGTCTCGACGTGACAGCTTCGCCTTCGTGTCGAGTCAGGTCTTCTTCAGTGAGCCATCTTCTCGAATGAGGCATCCTCACTCAGTGATGCCCTTTTATACACGATGCTGATGGTGGATATAATGATAATGTCCGGTGATAACAACTTGTTTTTCTCCCGGACATAGTCATCGCGAAATAATAATAATTTTCCTGATCATAAGAAAGAATACATATTGATTAGTGATACCGAGGTTCAAGGAAAGTCGGTTTCGAAATATCCTTC